GGGATGTCCCAGGTCATGGGTGCCTGCTGGGTGAGGGAGAGGTGCAGGGTGGTGGGGACGTGGTGGGTGCTGGAGAAACCTTGGGTGCTGGAGGCGTCCTGGGTGCTGAAGATGCCTTGGGTGGTGGAGGCATCTTGGGTGCTGGAGATGCTCTGGGTGCTGGAGATGTTCTGGATGCTGAAGATGCTTTGGGTGGTGGAGGCATCTTGGGTGGTGGAGGCATCTTGGGTGGTGGAGGTGTGCTGGGTGATGGACGCATCTTGGGTGGTGGAGATGTCCTGGGTGGTGGAGGCATCTTGGGTGGTGGAGATGTCCTGGGCGCTGGTCACACCCTGCGTGCTGAAGGCGTCTTGGGTGCTGGAGGGGTCTTGGGTGATGAAGACATCTTGCGTGCTGGAGCAGCTCCAGGTGCCCAAGATGTCCTGGATGCTGGAGACCCTCCAGCTCCTGTAGGTGTCCCAGGTGCTGGGAACATCTTGGGGGCCAGAGACGACTCACCCACTCGGGCACCTCTGTCTCCCCCAGCGCATCTCAGGTGCCCGGTTCTCCAGCAGGCCACGCTATTTTGGCCAGGCCATCAGCGGTGGCCAGGACCTGACAGGGGACAGGCTGCCGGACGTGGCCGTGGGCGCCCAGGGACAGGTTCTGCTGCTCAGGTCCGCCTGGGGAACCCACCTGAGACCTTCCACAGCCTGGAGGGTGGAGTGGCCACCGCCAACCCCCCTCTGGTTGTCACCACAAGGTCTCAGCCGCTGCTCAGGATCCGCGTAACGGTGACTTTCCAGCCCGAAGAGATACCAGCGGCCGCTTTTGACTGTCAGGAGGAGGAAGTGCTCAAGGGAGAAGTGGCCAAGGCTAAGATCTGCTTCCTCAGCACCAAGAAAACCCCTGACAACTTTGGTGAGACCTCCTAGATGTCCATCTGGACCCCCAAAGCATGTGCAGGTGTCCCCAAGACCCCCCAGAAGTGTACACGGACCCCCCACAAGCCACCTCCTCACGTTCTCAAGACCCCCAGGAGTCCATCTGGCCTCCCAAAGCCCCTCCAGATGTCTCCCGAGCCCCCCAGAAGTCCACGTGGGCTCCTAAATCCCCTCCAGATGTCCTCAAGACCCACCAGCAGCCTGTCTGGCCTCCCAAAGCCGCTCCAGATGTCTCCCGAGCCCCCCAGAAGTCCACGTGCCCCCCTAAATCCCCTCCAGATGTCCTCAAGACCCACCAGCAGCCTGTCTGGCCTCCCAAAGCCCCTCCAGATGTCTCCCGAGCCCCCCAGAAGTCCATGTGGCCCTCTAAACCACCTCCAGATGTCCTCAAGACCCTCCAAAATCCATCCGTCTCTCCATCCTCCCCTTTCCCACCATCCCGGAGGGCTGCCAGGGACCCTGGCCACCCACTTTCTGCTCCCTTTCCCCGCAGGCAGCCAGCTTTCCACCACCCTCCGGTACCAGGCGGCCCTGGACCCCAGCCGGGCGATGGTCCGGGCCGTCTTTGCCGGCGGCGCCGCCGTCCGCAACGGGACCCTCCAACTGGGCGTCGGGCAGAGGTGCGAGACCTTCGGCATCGCCTTCACGGTGGGTGTCGGGAAAGGTCCCGGCGGGGTGGTCGGGGGGGGCGGCGCAACCCCACGGCACCGGCGTGGGGGACACGGTCGTCTCTCTGTGCTGGGCAGGGGTGCCCACAGGACACGCTGACCCCCCTGGTGCTGCGCCTCACCTACGATGCCACGGGAGACCCCATCGGGGTGGCCGGGGGGCTGCGGCCAGCCTTGAGCGAGGACTCGGTGATGGTGGCCGTGGGCACGGTAGGGGCTTGGGGGGTCACCCCATGGCATCGGCGGCGTTGGAGGGGAGCGGTGGTGGGCTGTAGGGTTGGGGGTGGCGTGGATGGACGGAAGGGTGGAAGGACAGATGGATGGAGCGGTGGAAGGGGAGGTGGGATGGGTGGAAGGTCAAGAGGCAAGAAGGACAGATGGATCCGTGGAGAGAAAGGAGGTGGGATGGATGGAAGGTCAAGAGGCAAGAAGGACAGATGGATCCGTGGAGAGAAAGGAGGTGGGATGGATGGACAGAAGGGAGGATGGGAGGAACCAAGGGAAGATGGGAGGAAGGGAGGATGGAGAGATGCATGGGAGGAAGGACAGAAGGACAGGTGGCTAGATTGGGAGGAAGGAAGGACACAAGGACGGACGGAAGGCCAGCTACGTGGAAGGACATCCAGGCATGGGGAGGGTTGGAAGGCTCTAGGAGAGCCAGGGTGGGTGGGCAGATGGACAGACAGCTGGCTGAGGGATGGGAGGATGAAGGAGAGGAAGGCAGCCAGCCGGCCGCCTGGGGGACGGACGGACGGACGGACGGACGAGGCGTCTCCTCAGCTGCCCTTCGAGAAGGACTGCGGTGATGACAACGTCTGCGTCGACGACCTCCAGATCTCCTTCGACTTCTCTCGGTAGGTCCCCCCGTTCCCCGTGTCAGGGGACACCCGTGGACGCCGGGGTCTGCCCCTGCCTGCCCCCACCCCGCTCTGTGTCCCGTCCCCCCCCCAGGCTGGAGACCGTTGTGGTGGGGGTGACCGACGTGGTGAACGTCACCGTCACCCTCCGCAACCGCGGGGAGGACTCGTACGGGACCACCGTCCAGCTGCATCACGCCGGGGCCCTCTCCTACCGCAAGGCTGTGGTGCTCCAGGTAACCCCCCCCCCAAATCCTTCAGAGCCTAGAAGACCCCCCAGAAGTCCCCAAGACCCTCCAGAAGT